GAACGTGTACAGATGGCACAGGGAGGGAGACCAAGCCTTGAAACGGTCTTCCATTGAATCCGGATTTAGATTACTTTAAATTACAAGAGCACTTGTGTCAGCACATTCTGTAGAGAAGAATTAGAAATTGTTTAATTTGCAGGATTATTTCTCCCCTCTTTCTTTATGTCACACTTTGGGAGCACAGCGCTCAATTGACCTATTTAAAACATTTGAATTTCCCGGTACTTTTGCACCTTATCTGCTAGGGGCCTAGTCTCCTGCAGCACAGAGATGGCAGTGCAAAGTCCCTTCATCACTAAAGTGCTGTGAGGACTGAGTGAGTGTGCAGAGGGACGTAGGCCTTGTGTTGTCTGTCTACAGCAGAGTAAATTGTCCCAATTGTCTGACACTAACCAGTTTGCCTTCCCACACGACCTGTGTCCCTATTCTGTCGAAACACTGTTCCCTTTCGTTAGAAAACACTGTGTTTTTTGTATGGGTGATACTTAATTTTAATGGAATCACTAAAGTGCATGAATAACAGAAGGAAATCTCTTATGATCTTTAACTGTTGTGTATTCTCATCTTTTCTTCTCCCCACACCATCTCAGCTGTGTTCACCTTCCTTTGTTTGTGTTATGTCTATTTTAGATTGTAAGCTCCTCGAGGCAGGGAACTGATGCTTCTCAACTGTCTGTAAAGCACCTTTTACAACAGTGGTGCTCTTTGAAATATCAAATAATAATAAATATTAGAATCGATTCCCAATGAGTTTAAAGTTTTTTTTTTTTTAATGTTTTAGCAACAGCAAGGGCAGCAGGCCCGTATGACACCATGTAAGGAAGGTGCTCAGAGGACTGGGGGTGACAATGTAAGAACCTGTGTGTTGACGGGCGAGCAGGGTTGCTGTCTGGCTGTCCTTCAGTGTTTGACTGCTCTTGTGGACTGCTGTTGCCAGTGTAATCTGTACAACCATCCTTCATTGCTTTCTCTCTCTGTTGTCTTTGATAGCAGCGTTCCCCTTATCCATTCCCTCATCATCACTCCCGTCTGATCTCCTCTCCGAGCAACTTTGAGCACATCTACCACATGACTGTTAATTCAGCTGAAAAATTCCTCTCTTACGATTCCATAAACCCTGCATTTTCCCCGCCTCCACGCTCTGTCCTCGGTACTCCAGACTTTATGACTCTGAGGGTATGAACGGCTGAGTCAGGTGTTCACTCTACTAACACTGTGTGGTTTTCCTTTTGCCTGGCTATTAACATGGGAGAAAACCCCTTGTAAGCGATTTCCTTCACCCCTTAACTTTCTTCTGTCCCAGCTGATTTATTTTCTGCAATCAGCTGTGTTCTTCCCACAGCTCTGACATGCCAACAGATACTTCATGGCTTTAGAAAAAAGAAAATAAATGTATAACAACTGGGCTGAACCTTTTGCTATGAGAATAGCATTTTTAATCATCAGGAAGGATGAGGGAATTTTGTACGATAAGTTCTCTGTTCCACAGTGTTCATCCTCCAGTAGTCAGTAGCAGGATGCTGTGTATCAGGTTGCATTAGGAAAAGGTTCTGGATCTGTGTGTGTTGGAACAAACTTTCAAACCGGTTTTTAGTGATGAAATCATGTGGAATGCATGAGTTTTTATACAGTGCTGTACACAGATTGAGACACAGACACACAGGTTGTGCCTCAGACAGTTCCTACGTTAAAGTAAGCGAAGTTAGAACATGTACAAGCAAGATCAGAGATTAAAGGTGATGGCAACTTGCTGAGGTAGATCCTTTTAATCCTGGCAGTTTTAAGCAGAGGCTGAGGTAGAATACTGTTTTGTAGATATCCTTCCAGTTGGAATGTAAATTGGGAAGATGGGAGTGGTCTTTTCTTTTTTCTTGTGTTGTGCATCCTGGTACGACTTCGTGGGAGTCGCTAGGTCCTATAGAAGTACAAGCCGTACTAGAACAGGGACACAGGTACATGCTGTACGTTGTAATTGCGTACCGTGCTGCGGCCTGCAGCTCTGCTTGGGGCAGATTCGCCAATAAATCAGGAATAATCTGTAAGGTAGATGTGTGTGATGGTGGTTGGTTGCCCAGAGTTTGCATGGGTCTGTTGCTGTAATGGAAACAGTGCTGTTGGTTTCTGTGGCCTTTGGACACCCTTCAGACATGCATGGCAAACCTTCACTGCCAGACTGCTTTGAGCGCCTTTTGGTTGCTGTTCTAGATCCTATCACCGGGAAGGGTTTTGGATACATACCTGCATACAACACTACAGACAATTTAAAAATGCAGGAGAAAAAATAATCGCTTCCAAATGGCTCCAAAACAAATTTGCACATCTAAGCTTTGACTGGTCACAGGCATGGTCATGTGTCACTGTTGTGAAGTCCCAGTTGTCATAACCATTAATATTCAAAAATGAAGTTGCAGCATTTTGGAGAACGTGTCCTGTGATGACAGGTCTGCATCTATCCTGGCTTTTCTGGTAGGAGGAGAGATGCAAATACACAAGAGGAATGCTCTACTGAAATGCAAAAAAAAATACTGTTAAGCTGCATTGAAAGTTGTTTCTCTCTTAGAGGGTTATTATAGGGTCACTGAAGCTGTATTTCAGTTCTGGTTTTAACAGGGGTTTTTAAATCCAACTGTACTATAAAATTTGCAATTTCAATATGCAGTGATGTATCACCAGACTGTGACCCACCCTCTACCTTCCCTTTCTCATGTGAGTAGTCTCCCTGGGATCAGTAAGGAATGACCTCTGATGTTTCAGACAATAACTCTTAGTTTTTGCTTTAGGACCATCCTTCATCCTAATGTTGCAGCCTACTAGTAGGAACTGGAGGAAAAAAGTGAAGTGGGCAACCTGTAGTGTTGAGATCTTGTACCCCTTAGCTCCTTAAAGCACTAGAGGTTTAGTCTTGTATGAAGAAAAGAGTTTGTCTCCATTGTGGGTTGAGGGTCGAGATGCTGTAAGCTGTATGGAAAGCAAGGCTTTAAGTTTTGGTTTCGTGTCTGTCCATCCTCCCTTTGTGTTTGGAGATTTTAGTGTAAGAAGGGTAGTGCTCCCTCCGAGGGGACCGTGGTCCCAGGTATGGATGGGATATTGGAACCAAAACAGCATGGAATCCATAGTGGAGTTGAGAAATGACCTGTTAAAGTAGGCTTTTAGATTCTGTCATGTTATTTCAAGGAAGAATTAAAAGCTCAGGTTTATAGTGTAATGAACAGAACATTACTTTAAAACAAAAAAAAAACCCAACGAAACAGCAACAAGCAGCATGACGGACAGGGAAACACAACGAACAATTTCCTGTAGGTGTTGTAACTGTTTAGTTAGACTTTATATGTATGTTCTCCCCCCATGGCCTGAGAAGGCGGCGTGGGAGCAGTTAGTGTGGGTGCGAGAGCTGTGAGCGCAGCAGTGACTGCACGTACGTAACCCGCAACTCCCAGCAGCTCCGTTCTCTGATTGGGAATGGGACGCACTGAACTAATTTGGGTCTTTCACCCTATTTCACAGTGATTAACTTCAGTCAGCAAGCAGCTTCTCTGCTGCTGATTCTTTTTCTCTTCTCTCACTTTCTCTATTTGGCTCAGCAGTGGGGATGAATTTTCCTCATAGGATTTGAATTGTTGCTCTAAATGTGGGGGTTTTGTCTCTCTCTCTCTCTCTCTCTCTGAGTAAAGCAAGCTCAGGTTTCTTTGTTTTTCTTTGGTTTTAACTTGCTGCATTTTGCTGCTTTATAACTACTGCCAATAACTGCCGTTTTGTTTTATTTTGAATCCCCTTTCTGCATCATGTGCATATCACTTCCAGGGGTTTGGGTCCAAAATGCCAGGGTCTCTGGCATGTGCTTATTTTACTTTTAGAACAAAGAACAATGAAAGATTTGCTTTGTGGAGAACTTTCTACAAGGAATTACATGGACTTTGCAAACTGAGGTCATGAAAAATAATCATCATTAGAATACATTATTAAAATAAATGAGTCTTTTTTCAAGCACCCACCCATTCCCTCCTTCCCGTGATGCCTGTACGTTGTCTGCTCAGTCACTCTTGAGGAGGTTAATCACCTTATCATTAAACATAATTGTTCTTTTTGCAAAATGAACCACTGTAGGTTTATACAAGTACAAAAGACCTTCCTTGCAGCTCCAGTGTACTAACCACAGTGCACAGGTTTGCATGGTGCTGCACTTGGCTTTTCTTTGTTTCTCAAAACACAGCAGTACCTTCTTCCTTAGTTCCTCTGTGGGTTGGCAGGGGAGCCTCCATTGTTTATATACAGCCAGGATGCTCATACTCTTACCTGTAACTCGGGTTGTTTATTGCATGGTGAAGGACACAGGAGCAGAAATTTAGTATTTTGTACTACAAAGTAGGTTGGCTGTTCACATTTTAAAAAAAGGAGGGGGATAAGTAACAGGCAGCAGTATGATCCCACAAATTATTAAAGAGACTTTTTTAAAGCCGTTAGGTATAAATCCTTATTGAGAATAGTGCAGCAATGGATGAGGGGAGAATTAAACAGGGGAAAATTTTTCTTTGGTAAGGTCTGATTCTCTTTAGTTGATGTTTGAGAGAGGTCTAGGAACAGGAGATTTTAAATCTTTCTTGTTTGCTGCATGTTAAAAATCAGCCATTTCTAGCCCACTGGGAGAATGAGAAGCAAAGGGCTGACTGTAAGAGCAAAGGGGTCTGTTGTAACAATGACTCTAAGGATCATTGTAAGACTGGATTTGACAGCAGGTTGGTAACAATTATCTGATAAAGTCTGAACTGTATAAAATCTGTTCATTACAAAGCCTCTATTTAATTCCCTATTTTAAAATACAGATAGAGAAATGGGTAGTATCCGAGGGACTCGGAGAATACCCTTGGGAGGTGTGAAATCTTTGTTCTGGTCTGAAATTTCCATAACATCCTAGATTAAAAAGGCATTACAATTGCAACTGTTGTTTTATGTGTGGCTACTTCATCTCAGAGTGAGGATGGGGAAATAATTAAATATAAATAGGAAGAAATTAACAGTTATTGCAGGGGGTGTTTTGTAAAGTGGAAATAAAGTCCTGCTCGGAGCTACCTGCAGTTCTTTTCACATTCTGCATCTGTAAAGGTTTCCTAAACCTAATTCTGGTTAATGCTAATGACTTCGTAGCGCAAATCATGTTAGGGGCAAGGTGAAGTCTCATATTTAGCCAGAGATGAAATGATAAACACAGGCATTAAAAAGTCCCTCTGGGCTAAGAAACCAGCTTATATACAGAGACACGGGTAAATAAGTTGAGAAGCCCTTTCCTCTAAGGTCAGCTGTAAGTTAACAGAAGCAGAAATAAAATCTCCCATAACTCACTTCAAAGTATTCTTTTCCCTTCTTCTAAAGGCAACTTATGTTTAAGGAACTACCATATCCAAGTAGAGAAATTGTGTTTTATTTCTTCCCTCAGTAGAGCACCACTTCAGTCCACTAACTTACCAATTTAGAAAATCAGCCTGAAACTACCAGGATGCAAAACAGGAGCGATAATCAACATGTGTAGAAAAACAGTGGCATGTGCTCTGGTCATCGTCTTTGAGCAGGCTGAAAACAGGAGGCTGATTCTCCCTGTGGCTCAACCAGTGTAGGTCTGGAGTAATGCTGTCAATACCTTTGGAATTATATAAGTAATTGAAATACAGATTGATCTAACTCTGCAGGCATTTGGGATTAACATGGTTATTGTGTAAAGTTAAACATGCATGGCACAAATGACGGCATCAAAGAGTGAAATTGTAATAAGATCCTTGGAAGCTTGTGTTTAGGAAGAATGCATTATGGAATATAACTTGACTATATCTATAGAAGCTTAATTAGGCTTCCAAACCATCCTTTCAAGGAAATCCTTGAATTATTAGACATACTCTTTCAGTTGTCTGCATATGTCCATGTAATTCAGCACTTCACTATTGCATTGCGTGTGCTTCCAGTCTCTGCACTAAACTGCAGAATATTATTTTGCCAATTTTGCTGACTTGCTGCCCAGATAATTCAGCTCTGGTAAGGCTGGGGTTTTAATGTATTTTGGGGCCTTACTTCCTAACACCCAAGGTTGAGCCAACCGTCAGTAAGTGAACATGTCGTGTTGTGTGTGTCTGCATTGCAGAATCTTCGGCCTCAGGAAAGTCGGACCGTATTCAGTGGCTCTGTCAGTATCCCATCGATCACGAAATCCCGCACAGAACCAGGACGATCGATGAGCGCAAGCAGCGGGTTAGCAGCACGTAAGCAAACAGAACTGTGTTGCTTTGGGGTCTGCGCACAAGTATTTTAGGGAAAGGGCTACCTGCATTTGCTTCTGCCCATACTGCCACTAGACAGGATTTGTAGAAGTGATGGCTGGCTGTATTCCTATTGGGGGCAAGCACAGTATTTTAATCTGGCTTTCAAAGGAGCACATGAATAAGCAGCCAGCACATTTTAGAGTCCCACGTTTGTAATTTGTCATATTTTTAAAACTGCCATTAGAATTAAAATTACATTCTTACCCTTGGGACTACTTCACTGCTGATTAAGTGTTTTAAATCAGTGGCAAGTTGTTCACAAGCTCTATGGTTATTAACTTCATTGCTGAACTGTGTGGAGCTCTTGATGCCTCTCTTGCTGCTAGTGCAAAGAGACAGCAATAGAAAACGGGCTGCAGCGAGGAAGAGGTGCATTGCATTGGAATCACCTTTCCTAGTGCTGCCACGCTGCTTTTGTGCGCCAGAGTCAGCAGTCACCTGTGCTGAGACCAGGCAGGTGACTAAATAACAGACCATGTGAAAAGAGAGGCAAGACTGGTGTCCCAGCTTTTCTAGGGTTTTTTCCCTTCCTGTTGCACACGCCGCATGTGCTGCACACTGCTGACTGCTTGCAGAAAGCATGTGTGTCTGCTGTAGTCTGTACCTGCTGTAGTCAACCCACCTCCCTGGGAAAGAGGCCACTGGAACAAGGCCGCCGCCGCAGCAGTTTCTACAACTGCACTTTGTCAGGAACGTAGTGACTGTGTCTGTGCTGGGTAAAGTGTGCTAATGCTGACATGCCAAGGGAGGGACCAGAGAATCTCTAGGAAAAACTGCAGCTGGCAGCAGAGAAGATAAAAGCCCACACACCCTGCAACCCATGAGCTGAGCATCTTGGGACGTGCTGGAGGAAAGCAGAACTAACCAGAGAAACAGCTACCAAATTTCTAGTACCTGGAGCGAGCATCTGTAACACAGTTTAATTCCTCTGCACGTTTTAGGATCGTCTGCACAAAACGGCAGTGCTTTGCGGAGGGAATTCTCAGGAGGTAGCTATGGAGCAAAGCGTCAGCCTATGGCATCGCCCTCAGATGGTTCCTTATCCTCTGGTGGCCTGGACCAAGGCAGCGATGCACCAACAAGGGACTATGAGCGAGAGGTGAGTGACAGGAGAAAGAGAAGATTTAAGTGTGTTGATAAAGACGAGGAAGTTAAATTCTGTCATGGGTTTGGCTACAAGTTTGGGAGTCATTGACAATGAAAATTTGGATTTCCTGTATTTCAAACTATCCTGACAAAAGACTTTGGTCAAACTGTCTCAGCTCTGGTCCTGGTATTTAACATGCAGAAACCTCTCTCTGTGGTCTTTACCTGGAGATATGTGGGTAGTCAGCCACCCAAAAATACTGGCCTAGTAGAGTAACAGCTTGATAGTGAGCTATCACAGCTTCAAGTGGTGATATTCCTTCTGCCCTTTATTTTCAAAGCCTCTTAAGCTACCTTAGCAACCATTTCACAAGAGACATTTTGTACTCAGAGTGCCCGAAGTTAACAAGGTAACTAAGAATTATCATATAGTAATTTAATTTGGAGCAGAAACTGGATTTAATAATTTATATTCTGTGCAGAACAAGACTATCATAACGGCAGAACGGCAGTCTTGCCCAGTGCTTAACTCAGTCCCTCCAACCACAACTGTTTTAGATGGGAGGGTTCAATCTGAAGTTGGCCAGCAAAACTTCCCCAGCCCATGTTCATACCAAGGAGTAAGAAAATTAGAGATTCCACAGGCTTTTCATGGTACTGAATATATCCTTCCAGTTGAAGCTGGAAGGCAACCGTCAAGCCAAACTCAAGCTAGAGTTGCATTCTACTGTACTCTGGAAGATCCAACTGGAGTGACTTGATTAGGATGCTTTGAATTAATATCCTGGGAGTGACATAGAAGAGGTAGCTGTGATGAAGCCCGTACCATAAAGATTCCTCAGTTTAGTGCAAGAGCATCTCAGATCATGCTCTGTGAGAAGGCAGGAGCTGTTGTAGCTTCAGAGGCAACCTCAGGTTGCACACTCTGCTGACCAAGAGGCCCTCAGCAACATGCAGACTGCATACACTGCTGTGTCCTTATGTCAGCACCAGTTATGCCTGCTGAAAGCAGAGTGATCTGACCGCTTACTCTCAAGTCTTCCATAGATCAGGAAATTCTGAGCAAAAAAAATTCTTCAGTATTTTTGGGCGCAGGCAAAATACATGGAGGCCTTTGAATCGAGTCACCTGTTGCTCAGACACCCTGTCACTCTTGAACTTGCTGTCCTGTTACTTACTGGTGTTCTTCCGTGTCTTTGGGCTGCAGGACTCTGACTCTCCGAGACACTCTACTGCATCGAACAGCTCCAACCTCAGCAGCCCTCCCAGCCCGGTTTCTCCTCACAAGACCAAGAGCCTCTCCCTGGAGAGCTCTGACCACGTGAGTTGGGACTCATGAACTGCTTCAGCATTCAGATTTGACATCACAGCAGCTTGCTGTCCCCATGGCTGTCCCCTTCACTTGTTCCAGTTCTCACCTTCATCATCCTAACCCTCCCCATTCCCTGTCTGAAAGTGACCTGGGAGTGGGGTACAGAGGAAGGTAAAAGCTGGTTGTCTTCAGCACTGTTCGGCACTGCCTCACCCTCCCTTTCCCAGATTTGACAGCAGCAAATGAGCAAAGCTAGGGTGTTGGTAAATATCAGATGCCGTAGATTTGTATTAGTATTGGTTTCATTTTTGTGGTTACAGCTGCTTCGTTTTTAAAGACATATTTATCCCACCCCCTCCTTCCACTTCCCAAAAAGTAGCTTAAGTAGATAAGACCAGTATCAACAAGAGAAAATTCAGAGGGATTTTGTTTTCATACAACAGCTCATTGTACTGTACAAAAGTAGCACAGAGACCCCTTCCCCTGCATGGGGAACGATCAGTATGTCAGAGGCACATAAAAGCTTTCAGCCACCACGTTTGAATGTCAATCTGATTGTCGCCAGCAAATCCTTATTGATTAAAATGATGCATATTTTACTACAGTACAGAGTTTAAATAAATACGCAGATGTTAGAGTAAAATACGTATGTATATATTCAAAGAAAAAAAGCATTGTGTATGCAGCAGAAGATGGATGCTTATTTAAGAGAGCCTTTAATTTAAGATTTGTGTTGTCCCTGTTTTCATGCTCAGTAATAATACAGACCTGGAGGCCTGGCCTAAAACCTTTTGCAGGACAGATTTTCCTTTTGCGCAGCACTCGCTGCACTGCCGGGAGACGTCCCTGCAGTGCTTCCACGACGTTTCTTTACTTCTGGTGGTAGCATAACTGAAGCTGCAATTCCTACTTTCGGTGTTAGTCCCCATCCTCTGCAAAAACGACAGTTGGAAAGCAACCCCCTGCCCCGACAACCGAGGGCACCAGTCAGCCAGGCGGCTGCCCTGGGTTCTTGTGTGCTAGCTGTGCAGCTGAGGAGCCTTCCGGCATGCTACAGTAGAGGTCCTTAAGGCAGCAAGGGAGTTCAATGCAGCAGGATTCAGCGGGAAAACTGTTTCCCTGGGTCAGCCTTTGACCAGGTTTAACTCGGAAGGGAGCAGTCTTCCACATCTCCTCGACCATCCCCAACCAGAAAACTGTTACTGTTGTTACCAAATACTAGTTGCTAATACACATCAGCCAAACGAGTGCCCTTAGCCCGAAGGTAGCCGTGGCTGGCTACGCTGTCACTGTAGCAACGAAGAACCTTGAAGACTGACCGTGCACTGTTCACACTGTGGTAGTCGAAGATGCCTAGTCACCCACAACTGCCATGCTGGCAAGGTTGGTTTTCCTCTCCCTCCCTACCCGTACTGTGGGTTTGTGCAATTTGCAGTTGTTTCTATGATGTGCTCACCTGCTGTTTGGTTCCAACAGCAGGTCAGGTTGGAGGGCAGAAGGTATTGCGGTAGAAGACAGAGCCCGCTGAAGTTGCAAAAATAAATAAAAAGCTGAAGTTGGTCACGCAGTCAACAGATTAAAGTGAGAGACTGATGTACAAATGGATGGTAAGAGGAAGGTATCTCGTCTCTTTAGTTAGCAAGGCAGATGTGTTTTCCATTTGGGAATGTGTTCAAATGAGCCTGTCTTCTCAGTAGTAGGATTGCTGCTTTATACTATGACCATACTCAAACACGTAAGGGCTTTTTGTATTTAGAATACTGGTTTTTGTGGGTTTCGGAAACTTGTTACGGCTCTTATTAAACCATTCCATATTCTTGCAGTCAGCAGTATATAGTGTTTCACCCACATAGAGTTGTTTGGAGTTTTCCAGTTTCTGTCTTCCCTAATAGAAGTCATAGGTAAGTTCAAACCATGTACAGTAATTTCCAGGTATGATTTCAATGTGAATTAGGGAATGAGACACAGATCAGCTAATCCATTTAATCATGCTGGGTCTCCTAGGTAAGAGTTCTCTTTCACTCTGAATCAAGAGGCTTGTCCAAGTTGAAGCTCATTCAGTGCTATTTTGGGACAGGAATTGAAGAAACTTCTTTTAGAAACCATTGTAACAAGCGCCTGTCTCTCTCCTGTTTGGGATTTTCAGAGTAGAAGCTGGTTGTGTTGTTTATTATCACTTCAAGCTACTACTTCTGCCAGCCTGGCATTTAGTATTAAAAGCTTTTGCAAACAGCTAAGCACTTGAAATTGGTTTCTCCCAGAAAAGTTTCCAGTCTTTCTGAGGCACAGATAGGCAGGGCGTTATTTGCGTTACTAAAATTCCACATCAGCTTCTTTTTAAAGGCTGCATATTGCTTCAAGTATAGCCACCGCTTTTTTCCCCACAACTCCCTCCTTTTGGTGAAGCATGTCCACATACTTTTCAAAGCCTTTGCAGACTAGTTTTGTATTTACTGTATGTTGTATTTAAACATTAATCTTATTTTGATGTTGAGAGAAGGCATTTAAACAGCAGTCATTTAAGACAGAGCAGCCTGCGTGACAGTCCCCTGAGAGAGCATCACAGGATCTTTTTTGTGGATTTTTTTATTTTTTTTACAGTTGAGCTAGTGCTCTATCTGAAAATGAAACCCAAAGAGTCATGACACAGCAAAGAATTAAATTGAGTAAACCTCTGTGTTTACTCCATTACAGTGCCTGCAATCTATTGATACAAAAAAACCCTGACATTTTCAGGCAGTGTAGTCAGCTGTGTTACAAAACTGAAGCTCCAGAGGATGAGAGCTCCACAGGCCTATGCTGTTTGTACACCACAATTTCTAAGCCTTGGCAGTCTCTTTTAGGATTCCTATATTTAATCATTAGTTTGGTACTGTGCATTTTTATACGCATCTGTTCAAAAGAGAAACAGCAACTGTTCTCTCAGTTGAAAAGCAAATGACCACATGACTTATTTGAAAAGAGAAAAATTGTCCTAGGATTTGAATGGTTTTATATATTTGGGGACCATTTAATTATATGCTCAATTTTAAACCACACTCATCTTTTTTTTTGTTGGTATGAACACTGAAAACATACGCATACTGTAGCTGAGCTTTTTAAATACTCATTGGGCTAGGAAAAGTAACTTGGTCATTTGAACTGTAAGACTCTTGACTGGTATCTCAAAGACACTTGTCTCCTAAGGTTTGATGTTTGCTACTTTGCACTGTAGCATTGCTTCAACTTCACAGTTAGAGGGCTGTGTTTTGTTCAGGGAGCTTAAAATCTCCCACTGAATTTTTGACTGTAGCATATGTTCTCTGTACACAGTATGTATCTAGCTGATTTTTTCCTTTTGGCTGAGACTGAAGGTGTTTGCATTTTTGACACTGCTTAAACATAGGGGTTATTGGGTTTTTGCCTTTTTTTTTTTTCTTCTTTGATGGCAACAAAGGATCTGAACAGATTCAGGCAGCTACTAAGGATTCCAGGTTATGGAATGAAAAAGGTTTGGTAAGTAGCTTCCCCCTGCACGTGTGCGCACAGAGATATGTGGCTTCCTTCCACATTTCATAAACCCAAAAGCAGGGTTATAGCATTCTCTTCTCTGTTGCCTTTGACCTGTAGAAGACAGCTGGTGGTTTCAAAAAAACATTCCTGAAGCTGTGGTGAAGTAGTTGGTTCTTTTCCTCTCAGTTAGTTGCTGTGGCTTGTTATGAATGTGCATTTTACCCATTTTAACAAGTTTCAAAACTGAGTCAGGAATGTTCTCTCCTTGATTTGATTCTGATAAAATTACAAGCCAGGTGTGTTATTCTCAGGTATATGGCAGAGGGAAGTTAAGGGTCATGTCATACCAAAAAAGTCCAAAAAGCATAGTATATTTATAGAAATGTAGTTTAACTGCACCCACCTGCTTCAGAGAGTGCATCAGCCTTCCAAAACAAAACAGTTGGAGTATTAACACAGAAACAGATTCTGGCATCTTCTTGTCTTGCATGGCCAGACCCTGAGTGACAGGACAGACATGCTCTTGGGTGGAAGAAGGGGGTTTTTTCCCATTTTATGCACGCTATGTAATTTTAAATGAATATGTTAAGGGTAAAATTTATTGCAACGCAAATACCCACACCTCCCGAGCCCTAGTCTGAGAGTCAAAGTGGCACATAGTAGCTTCTGCTGTGGTTTTTTGTTTGTTAATACGAGTCAGTTCCATGGAGGAAAATGGGACAAGTTTCTGCACTAACACAAACTGCACCCTTCTGTGTGCTTTGTGTTCACACTGTATATTTGATAAACACCCCCAGAAACCGCTGTGCTGCAGGCTTTCCAGTCTAAATTCCAACTCTTATTTTGTCTTTCATTCCAGCTGCAGCTCAGTACAACCTATTTGCATTCTGCATTTAAGAAAGTCTCATCCACAGGGAAGAAATCCACAAACAAACCAGTGTTGGTATTTCAGAGCAATTATACCTGCCTTTTTATGTATGACAGTTTCATATCATTTATTTTTAAAATGTTTTTTAGGTTTTTCATTGTAATATTATTGTACAGTTTTGCATGGCATAGATGTAATCACTTTTTTGTTTTAGAGTATAAAAGCTGACAAGTGTGCGTGTGGGGGAAAGATTCTGCTTTTTGCCTCTTCTCACTATTTTGTTTAATGCCCTCAATGTTGTAGGGGACATTGTAAGAGATTCTCTGCTACAGAACAATGATGTAGATTCTTTTGCACAGAAATATTTAAGGTGGACAAGTCAACAATGTAAAAATGACTTACCACCAATATTTTATGTTGGTAACACACTTAATATTAACCTACTTTGATGTACTGCAATAAAACAGGGAACTGTTAGAAATGCAGATGTTCTGTCTTTTTTTCTGACCTCCCCCACATTAAGCTTTGAGGAGGAAGAAGAAAGGGGAATAATGGTGTTCTTGAAGATAAAACCATCATGTTGTAAGACATCTGCACAAGTATACAGTGGGAAGAGGAAGAATATGTGAGAAAAAAATCAATTTAGCTCTAACAGCTTTCAGAAGAAAATCACCAGAACCTTTTTGAAAATTTTAAGTCAAGCCACCTTATACTTTGGCATATTGAACTTCATCAACTACAGTTCTCCTGACCTTTTTTAGGTCCTCTTTTCTGTGTTAATAGTTGTAGTCATTGTTTCTGGTGTTCCCCCATCAAGTATTTCAGCTGACCTAGTGTTAGAGGCTGGATTCTTACTTGTTTCTGAGCTACCACTATCAAATTTACTTTTATGCATCTTTAAGTGCATCTCAAAATACCTGTGAAGTTTTGGATGTGCCCTGACCCTTTCACAAGTCAGCCTGGGATTTTCTCCAGGTTGTTGGTTGGGACATCTTCCTTACCCTGTTGGTAAAAGGCCTAGCT